GCCTATTGACCCGTGCTATGCACGGCCAAAGTCTACGGATGTGGATTGATGGAAATAATTATTCTAGAAGCATACTTGATATGTTGATAATTGTGAGTAGAAATTTTTGCACAAATGACTTATTCAAAAGTTTAGTTACTATCTCTATTTTTCATGATCAACCATCACTTCCTTCACGTCAACAATCACTTTTTTTCATATACAATAATTACCTCTTTTCATGATAACAAACTATTTCAGCCGAATATGTTTTCACTTTTCATTGGAGAATCTTTCATAGGCAGCGATAAGCAATTTGATTGTTGAAATTTCATTATGCTTTGGCCGTTCATGCACCATACACATTTGAAAAAAACACTTGGGTTGGATTAAAGAAAGAGTCGTTGTAGCAAATTAACAAGCCTGTTGACCCGTGCTATGCACGGTCAAAGTCTATCGATGTGGATTGATGGAAATAAGTATTCTAGAAGCATACTTGATATGTTGATAATTGTGAGTAGAAATTTGTGCACAAATGACTTATTCAAAAGTTTAGTTACTATCTCCATTTTTCATGATCAACCATCACTTCCTTCATGTTAACAATCACATCTTTTCATTTCCAATAATCACCTCTTTTCATGATAACAAACTATTTCAACCGAATATGTTTTCATTTTTCATTGGAGAATCTTTCATAGGCAACGATAAACAATTTGATCGTTGAAATTTCATTATGCTTTGGTCGTTCATGCACCATACACATTTGAAAAGACACTTGGGTTGGATTAAAGAAAGAGTCGCTTTAGCAAATTAACAAGCATGTTGACCTGTGCTATGCATGGCCAAAGTCTATGGATGTGGATTGATGGAAATAATTATTCTAGAAGTATATTTGATATGTTGATAATTATGAGTAGAAATTTTTGCATAAATGACTTATTTAAAAGTTTAGTTAAATATCTGCAGAGTGAATTTTTTTCAAACCAACATTAATTTTAATTTTTTTGTTTGTTATTAGAACACGTATGTCATAAAAGAGCAAGAGGATATTGAATGACAGCTTTTGTAATTAGCAATTTTTGTCAGAAATGTTGGGATAAAAATCCAAGATCTATGTGGTATTTTTTTTCTTCTTTTTGCGCAACTTCTAAGGCCTAGCCTTAAGAAAGTAACTCTTTATGAACTCCTTAAAAAGGCAAATATAATATGTATGCAAAATCTGACTCGAGATATCACCTAATACAAATAAATGAAAATTTTTAGATAATTTAGGCGTAAATAACATGTACATTCAATTGATTTAGCCGCTTGACTTCTTTTTTTTTTTTTGGCTGAAGCCGCTTGACTTCTTGATGGGTCACGTTTTTTGTTATAGCTTCTTATAAATGAATCAACAATCCACATGAGATTGGAACAAAAATAATGTATAGTCGATCTTTGTATGCATGTATTGCCATTTTGCAAATTCAACATATTGCCTAACTCTCACTGTCTTTTCTTTTTAAATAATGTTGAAGTTATAAGCAAATGGGCATTTTTTTCTTTCAAAATGGGACAAAAATGGTCATACATCCACAAGGTACAAATTAGGTTGAATTGTCATGTATGCCGTAATGGATCGTTCATGTGCAATCATAATTGCATATATGGCCCACTAAAGTGGCATCTCATATCTTTTCCACATAAAGACCAAAATTGAGAGACCCACGAATCGATTTTTCCACATCCTTCAAATTGACGCACATGAGTCATTCTATGGTTCTTAGGAATATTCCTAATCATTAAATCATAAAAAGAAAATATCATAATCTCAATTGACAATACATGATTACGATGGATTACGAACGAGTATAAATCTCTCAGAAACTATAGAAGCTCCAACGTACAATGAACACGCCACAATAGAAATATAGGGCCAATAGATGGCCTTAGGTTAGAATTAGCAATAATGTTTCCCATTTACCCATTGAAAACGCTGCATCGGGATTATAGAGATGGCCCTTCATATATGTCAAAATAAGTAGAATGTACGTATTGATTTTGGTCATGGATAAATGAATGTTTTGCAACGAATGGAGCATAATACTCCAAGAGTCCATCTTAGTGCACAATCTAAAACTATCACACGACGCTTTGAGTAGATTTCTGAGAGACGCAACTTGAATTGGTCAATTGATTATCAATCAGTGAAGGAACAACTTGGAAGATGACTGGTGTTCCGAATGCAATCCCCCCACACCCATCCTAGTCCTCCTCTAGACGGTCTTGCCAACAGGCATGACTTTTTTTTTTTTTTGGTTGGGAACAACAGGCATGACTAAGTAAAATCCCGAATGCACTATGTCAATATAGGTGAGGGACAATGATGCTCTATCTACACAATATCTCATTTGGTGTCGTAACAAATCTCAATCGGTGATCATTACACAAAACTAGTCAAGTTGCATCGTCTAAATTATATGTGCTCCCAATGGAGTCGTAATGCAAAAGGCCTTTAATAACATCTCGAACAGAGGAATAAATACCAAATTGCAGCTGTTGTTCCTTTGAAGTAGGGTCATAGCCTCTGTGCAACCATCTGCTTCTCTGAATATGTGCACAATTTTGTATTCCTACAGCTTCGTGAGCAAAGTTCCTACATTCAGCCAGATGCGGCAGGGCAAGGCTCGATCTCGCCAGATTAGGCGAAGTCAAGCCTCACCAGAGGAAGGCGAAAGGGAAGAAAAAGAAAGAAAGAAAAGAAAAGAAAAATCGAAAAAATATTAAAATATTATTAAAAGTTAACCGCGTTAGCGTCGGCGGTGCCACGTAGGCTGTCCGGTGTCCACATCGGTAATATCCGGTCAAAATTAGCTGAAAGGACTGAATTAGCATTATATTAAAAGGTTTAGGATTGAATTGACATCAAAAAAAGGTTACTAAATTGGCACCAATGCAATAGGTTTATGACTTTTCTGACACTTTTCCCTATATTTTTCATAAAACATTACTATTCATTCAAACAATGTGTCTTTCAATAAACTTCTAAACGAATTGTGTCTTTCATGTTCAAATTATGATTTGATTTATCTATTTGTACTTTCTCATAAAATCAAAAGTTACGAAATGTGCACATAACCTTAATTCTTTCTACTAAAAATTTCTTCTAATGGTTACAAAAAAAAGATACCTTTGATTCATAGATTCAAGACATTTTTTCACATTTAACTTAATTTAAATTGAGGACACCCATTCACGTTGCCTCCTTCAATATATTTAACTTCTCAATTTCCATCGCACTTTTGCACTAATGATCTGTTTATTCTTCATAGTAGATAACTCTCTTTGTTTCTCTCTCATTCTTGCGCATGCGCACATACAATTTTTTTTTCTTCCATGCTTTACTTTTATCTAAAAATTGGTGCAGTACTTACTGTAATGTCTTTATTTGATGATTTCGAGTGCGCGTCAATCTATTTCAATAGTATCATATTATCATTCATTATTTTCATTTCAATCGTGTCGATATTTTTTTTTTCTGATTTGTTTATTTTAAAATGATTGTATCTCATTTCATACTGAAAAAAAAAATCAATGAAGTCGTGAAAAATTTGGTAGATAACTAATTCTTGCATTATTTTTTTATTTTCATGCGAAAATATTATTTTCCATCTTTTTAGTAGAGTTCTTCTTTTAAATAACATTGACATTGTTAATTTATTAACGCTGAAAGTCAAATAAATAATCTTGCATATGCTCAAGAAAATTTCATGTTTATGCAGTTTAAAAAAAATGTGTGGTCTTAATGCGTGGACGCACGGTACATTTTATTGATATCTCAAACTATATATTAAATATTGATCTATCCCTTCTTTTTGCCATAAAACACCGAACTATCTTACTCGATTTTTCTGGTTATACAAATTGATTCAATAAAAAACACGAGATGTTTTTTAAACTTATCTTGCTAAACTTAGGACTTACAACGTAAATTAACACTTAAACCCATCTATTAATACCCTTAAAATAGTGGAAAACGTAAAATTATCCTAATCCCCGTGATTAGGTTAGTCCAACTGGTTTGTCACAAGGAAGAAAATTCTTTGTTGGGTTTTGTCAAGTTTTGGAATTTTTTTTCTTCTTTTCTACGTGAAAAAGACGGGAGGTGTCATTTCACTGGTAAGTGGACCATGCCAATAATACTGGGCAATGAATGGCGAAGCACGGCACAAGTAACTACAGCTTTTGACAGATGACGCCTTTATCTTGCTTGGACTCTTGACTCTCCCTACCATTTTCGAGAAAATATCGTATGGTCTTTGGACAGGTAGATGGGCTCTACAGTAGATTGTAATTGAGAGGAAATACGTAAAATGATTTAAATTTGTTACTCAGCCTGTACGCAAATTGTGTCAGATGCATGATAGCGCACGCGATATAATTAAGAGAGAAACTTCACTAATCAAAAATCAATATGAAACAATGAATGAGAAAATGAGCATTAAACTTGATGAATCCCAAAACAAAATGACTTTTTTGGTGATAATTTCAAGTGAGGTAGGGAGAGAATAGACGTATAAGTGAGTTTATAGTTAAAGAGACGTGGGCCCACCTATAAAAATGGGCTTATTGATGAAAGTCCACACAAGCAACTCATATGGATGAACAAACAACGTAGAACAACCTTTGTACTTGAAATTACGCCTTCAAGCTGTGAGTCAAAATCAAATGACATGAACAATTTTACATGGGAGCTTGTTGCCAATTTCCAATATGTCACCAAAAGAAACGAATGGATACTATATCGAAAGTATGACAAAGAAATATAGATAAAAGGGGACAATGCCAAGCCGCTGGGCTCGTGCTCTAGATGATAAAACATATGTATATAGGTCTAACATCGTGCAGTTTTCAAACCCATACAGAAGGCATACATAAAATCCATGAAAAGTATTGGGGTCAAGCACTTTGGATGGCCAAGTAGCAAGATATTTCCATTGACAGAACGAATTGTTGCTGCCTATAAAAAGCTTCTCCGTTGCACTCTCCCACGAAAACTCACTTCAGTAACCAAAAGAACAAAACACAAAAGCAGAAAAATATGGCAGCCTTATCATTATATCTGCTGCTTACTTGGATGTTCCTACTCTCTCTCTTTCGTACTAGGCTTGCTGAGGTATCATGTCATGCGGATGAGAGCTCTGCCTTAATGGAATTCAAGAGAAGTTTCAGAACCAACACGACAGATTCGCGATGCATTTATCCAAAGGTACACTCTTGGTCTCTGGATGGAAGTAGAGATTGTTGTTCGTGGGACGGCATCGAATGTGATGAGGTCACCGGCCGAGTGATTGCCCTCAACCTCAGTAGCAGCTGTCTCTCGGGCACCATGAGTCCCAACACCACTCTCTTTCGACTCGTTCACGTGGAGTCACTCAATCTTGCTTACAACAGCTTCAACTTATCCCCAATCCCGTACGGCTTCAGCAATCTTTCGAGGTTACAATACCTTAATCTCTCCAATTCGGATTTTTTCGGTGAAATCCCTCACGATATTTCACAGCTATCCCGGTTAGTTTCTCTCGATTTGTCCTCTTCTTGGGACGTGACACTTCATTTGCCCAACATGGGCGACCTTGTCCATAATTTGACTGGGCTAAAAGAACTCAATCTTTATTCCGTAAGCTTGTCATCCCCTATCCCTCCCGAGCTAGTGAATTTCTCCTCCTTGACATCGCTTGAGCTTCGATATTGTGGATTGAATGGAGACTTTCCGGTCAGCATTTTTCAGCTGCCAAAGTTGGAAATCCTTGACATTGGTGGCAATTCCAACCTTTCTGGTTTTCTTCCCAAACTGCATTGGGGTTCTCCATTGAAATCGTTATACCTTTTCCAGACCGATTTCTCGGGAGAAATACCCGCTTCGATCGGCAATCTTAGTCTCTTGAATGAGTTAGACGCCTCGTGGTGCCCTTTTTCGGGATCACTTCCCTCTTCATTGGGCAATCTTTCTCATCTCACTACACTAGTCCTTTACAGAAATAACTTGCAAGGTCAAATCCCTGTTTCCTTTGCTGATCTTACCCAGCTATCGGAGCTATGGCTCTCTTCCAAGCTTGGACATGGTGGATTCAATGGAGACTTTCCAGTCCGCATTTTTCAGCTGCCAAACTTGGATTTCCTTTTAATTGAAGGCACTTCCAACCTTTCTGGTTTTCTTCCCAAATCGCATTGGGGTTCTCCATTGAAACACATAGAACTTTACAATACCAATTTCTCGGGAGAAATACCCGCTTCGATTGGAAATCTTAGTCTCTTGAATGATTTTGAAGCTCGTGGGTGCTATTTTTCGGGATCACTTCCCTCTTCATTGGGTAATCTTTCTCATCTCGCTGTACTATACCTTGACGGAAATAACTTGCAAGGTCAAATCCCCGTTTCCTTTGCTGATCTTACCCAGCTGTCGATGCTATATCTCTATTCCAATAACTTGAGTGGTGATACTTTGGAGTGGATGGTCAACTTGACAAACCTTCACGACTTGTTCATTTCAGGTAATAGTTTCTTCCTCTCTACCGGTTCAGTCGGATCTCTTTCCCCTTCTCTCTCTGCAACTTCATGGAACCACCGACCTCTCGAGCTCCACCCCGCTCGCTCCCTCCCCGACCACCACCAAAACCCCCGCCGCGACGGCCACAAGCCAAACCAGAAACAGGGACTTCCTCCTCCACCTCAAGGCCAACCTCGCCAAGCGAGACGCCACGAAGATCATCCTCTCCTCGTCCCTCCTGCCCGAAACCTTACCCCCTCCATCGATGGCCGCCACTCGCGTGTTCTGTCGAAGATCAGCGCGTGGGCGGAGCTCGTCGGGTACATTGGGAGCGTGAATCTGAAAATTAGGGATTTGAGGAGGTTGCGGGAGGACGAGACGTGCGTCTAGTCGAGCATCGAGATCCCGACGTCGAGGGGGATCAATTGCGAGGAGGAAGAGTTGAAGTTGAGGAAGTTGTGGGAGAAGAAGTTGATGATGAAGAAGCTGTCCTTGGTTCAGGACTTGGCCGAACTTGCCGAGCCGGAAGGCCTTCCGGCTCAGGCCGTCGCTGGACTCGAAGCTCTTGAGGCGGCGATGGTTTTTTCGCTTGTGGCCGTCACGGCGAGGGTTTTGGTGTTGGTCGGGGAGGGAGGGAGCGGCGGTGGAGCGCGAGAGATGGGTGGTTCCATGGAGTTGCAGAGAGAGAGAAGGAAAGAGATGCGACCCGAACCGGCAGAGAGGAGGAGAGGGAGAGAGACTTTTCCAATTTTCTGATGGTGGGACCCACAGTGCCACTTTTCGTCCACTGAGTGGGCTGGTGCATAGATGACGTGGCGTCACATTTGCTCCTAATATTCTCACATGCGGTTCGTCCCATGGTGTAACTAACGCTCCTCTTGTCTTGTGTCTTTTTTTTTTCTTTCTGTTTGGTAGATAATCGGCTAAGCGGTGGACTTCCATCTTCATTTGCGAACCTGAAGCAGCTGAATATGCTCGACCTTTCTCGCAACGACTTGGGCGGTGATATTCCGAGCACATTCTGGAATCTGAAGGATCTTGAAGTGCTCGATCTGGGGTCGTTTAATATCAATGGCTCTTTCGATTTAAATGATATATTCAAACTCAAGAACTTGAGAGAGTTAGATTTGTCCTTCAACAATATATCGTTCACCAAGTCAGCTATCAACGCCACTACACCGCAGCTTGGCTACTTATCCTTGGATTCGTGCAACTTGACCGAGTTCCCACTGTTTATAGGCTACTTAAGCGAATTGACGTGGTTAGACCTATCACACAACAGAATCCGAGGGACCATTCCTAGATGGGTGTGGAACAATAGCAAAGAATCTCTCAAGTTTATAGATCTTTCTCACAATCTTTTAACTAGCTTCGAAAACAACCAGACCAATCTTCCTTTGCCGAACTTGTGGCATCTTGACGTGAGTTCTAACTTGCTAGAAACAACCCTCCCTGTCCCACCTCCCTCGGTCCGGGTCTACAACATCTCAAACAATTCCCTATCTGGGAAAGTTCCAGCATGCATTTGTGAAGTGAGCTATCTTGTCGTGCTCGATTTGTCCAGCAATTCTCTTAATGGCACACTCCCTCCTTGTTTGGGTAGTATTGGCCCTTTGAGTGTATTGAATCTCGCGAGAAATAAATTTGAGGGCATGATTCCTCACATTTACCCAGATGGTTGTTCATTGAGGATGATCGACCTAGGAGAAAATCGACTGAGAGGTATTGCTCCGAGATCTTTAGGCAATTGCAGAATGCTGGAGTATTTAAATCTCGGTGACAACCAAATTAATGATACATTCCCATTTTGGCTATCGGAATTGGCCTACCTAAAAGTTATTGGCTTGCAGTCCAATATGTTCCATGGACCCATAGAAGATAATCTAGGCCAGCTTAACTTCACCAGTTTACACATCTTGGACCTATCCAACAACAGCTTCAGTGGTGAACTTCCTTCTAAGTTGTTAAAGAGTTGCCGTGCCATGAAGTTCATCGATGGTCAAGAAAAGTTGGCATATTTGAGTTTTTATAATCCGCTTGATATGGATTATGTTCAATACAACGAAAGGTTGACTTATGCGATGACATTAATGAGTAAGGGCATGAAAAGGGAATATGCGAAGATTTCGGATGTCCTCATGGTGATTGACTTCTCCAATAACAAGTTCGAAGGATTCATTCCTGAACTCATTGGAGATCTGAAGTCACTTCGTATGCTTAACCTTTCAGACAACTTCCTCAATGGTAGCATCCCTCCTTCCTTGGCCAACCTGACAGTGCTCGAATCACTGGATCTTTCCCTGAACAATCTCACAGGAGAGATTCCTCAACAACTAGCCAGCCTCACATTTCTCGAGGTTTTCGATGTCTCTCGCAATCGACTATCGGGACCGATACCACGTGGAACACAGTTCGACACATTCGGGAGCAATTCATTTGCGATGAATGAGGGGCTGTGTGGAGGTCCTCTGCCAAATAAATGCACAATTGGTGAAAGCACTACACCACCACTATCGTCTTTCAAAGTAGATAATGAAGAAGAGTCTCTATTTGACTTGGATTGGAAAATCGTTCTGGCTGGCACTGGAGTTGGGTTTTTGGTTGGTGTTGTGCTAGGGAACTTGATCATTGACGAGAAGAGTAGGTGGTTCTTGCACTACTCCAAGAGAATGGCAAAAGGATGTAAAAGGTGAGATAAGCTCTAGCGGACAAGAAAATATGCAGCTAGGTACTTAATGCCCTGTATCTAAGTTGTTTGTTTAGTACCGTGCATGTCTGAAGATTCTAATCTATGTTTGTTTGCATGGTTCAGTATACTATTATGGAGATGTTGTTTTGTTGCTCGTGAAAGTTTGTTCTTTAGGTTCTTGGAGAACATCTCTGTCCATTTATACATATGCAATCTCATAATGTATTGCTGTAATAGTACTAGCCAAATGACTTTCACGGATATAGAGGATTTGACCTAGGACCTGGTTTATCTATCCATTTTTTATTTGAAAGGTTGTAGATACTACGATTTAGAGACGTAATTGAGATAAGTGGATACTAATGAGAAGCCAATTATTATACATGGTCGAGGATGACGTAGAAAGTTTTGTCGTCCATGGAAACCAAGGCGATTGGTGTGAAATCTTCATGGTTTGTAAGTAGAAAGCGCCTTAAGTTGTTTTCGTAGAGACTATCCACCTTAAGTTAAATGTAAAATTGTTAGCTTAAAGAGCATATAATTTGATGAGTGATTTAGTTCAACAAGTATAAATGTGAACATGAAATCTAGCAAAATAACGATTTCAACATAACTTTCTACAATTGAACATAATTAGAAGACCGACCAAAAAAAAAACATAATTAGAAGGATAATATTGGAACAAGTAGAGTAGTGAACTGGGCCCATGGAAGTCCCCATCTCCATCCTCGTCCCATGCCTGCGAAGTACCGGGGTTAGAGCGATAAAAAAATGGATTATATTCGTGCCAGTTCTTTTAATAAGAATGACAAAAAATAAGTAAAAAGGGGAGAGATAAAAGGGTACCATTCGCACCAATTAATGACATGAGTGAGATGGATTGAATCTGAACTCACAAACTTGTATTTAGAAGTAGGAATTACTAAGGAAATAGTTAATGATCTATGAGAATTCGGAAAAGACCTTTTCTTTCGGTGGATGATGGTCCACTTCGGATCCTGACGACATTGGAAAGAAGAGAAACAAAAAGGTACACGAAAAGGGCGCATTGCAATTTACCATGGCCCCATTCATTCCAAGTCATTATAAAAAGTGGAGGAATTCATTATGTTCGCATGTGAGGACCAATTTGTCGAAGGAATTGAAGTGCATTCCTTGCATTCGGAGGCGAATGAACAGCTTCATCATTTCCATTTCAGTTAGCTGAGGAACAATTCAACAGCCTGAGTTTCCCATTTCTTCACATATGCTTTTTAAGACTCCGTTGGCTACTTTTTCGTGCGGGCCAAATCCTCACGGGATAACATAGTTTCTATGATAGAATGGTATTGCTGGAGAAATGCATAAGGTTACGAAAGCTAAGCGATCGAACAATAAAATTAATAGAATAAGAAAATAAATCGAACTCCAGATTTACGTGGTTCGATCGTAGTAACCTACGTCCGCGAGAAGAGAAGCAACGAATTTCACTATAGAACAAGTGATACAGCGGATATTACAATCACACTTGAATCACTCAATTGATAAGTATTTTCCAAGCCTCAATTACATTCAATAACTCGCTACAAATACTTAAACTCTTTGTGTAATTCCACGAATAAAACCTGTTAAAATATATCTCGAATTTGAACTTGCGAAGGAAATTCGATCCAAGATAAATTAAAGGAAAATTTGAAAGTTGAATATTTATGGAGGTTCACCGTGAAAATCTCTATTTCCTGTTTGACTACAAAGAAGTCAAAAGTGGAAAGTCCAGTTGGACTTGTGTTGACCGTGAAAACAAGACTCCAAGAAGAGGAAAGTCCATCGTTGCCAAAATTTCATCAGAGAAAGAAAAGGAAGAAATAAAATAAAAAGAAGAAAGGAAAGAGAGTCCAATTGGATTTTATTTCTTATTTTGACTCTGTCAACTTTGACCGACCAGGGGACTTCTTGAGCGGCAACTGTGCTTGGCGTGGGTTATTCTTGTGGGTTTTGTTCGTGGAATTACACCAGGAATGAAGTATTTGTAGAGATTAAATTTTGTGATAAAATTTATATATAATTCCTACGTAAAATTGAGAGATTATTTCATGAGAAATTATGAGGTTAAACACTGCGTGAGTTATTGGGTGTAATTGAGATTTAGAAAACACGAGTATTTGAGTTATTCGAGTGTGGTTATAATTTCTATTTTATAGTTTGATCTATAGTAAAATTTCGTGCTGATATCCCCGTGAATGTAGGTCATTACGATCGAATCACGTAAATTTAGTGTCTAATTTATTTTATTGTTCGACTGCTTGCATTCGCAACAGAAGCCACAAGATTGCCCACTGCTAAGCACTCGTAAACGGCGCTTCAACAATCTCTTCGCTAAGAAAAGAACATCCCCTGATCGTGAGCGCATACGTATATGTACACACGCGGTCAACGAAGTCAACGCGCAATAAAGCAATTCACTACTTGAAGAAGTCCCGTGTTGGTCAACGAAAGAAGCTCGTGCCGATTGGGATCAGGAAATGAAATCCAGTCATGCTTTGCCCTTTTATTTTATTTTATTTTATTTTATTTTATTTTATTTCTTCTTCCTCCCACGTGGCAACAAAGCAGATAAATAATCTTTCCTCTTCACTGTCAAAGATCCAGCAGCAACTTTGCTCAATATTTTGGACGCCCACCGTGTAATTATCATGGCCTACTGCAGCACGGAACAACTTCCGTTCTTGATCACGACTTCACCACGAAAGTAATTTTCGTATTATGTATCGCTCGATTTTGGACGTCTGTAAAATATCTAACTCGAAATATTTAAATTTTCATAAATAATAATTAATGTCGGATCAGGTTTTGTCTCTCGGACTCAAACTCGAGATATATTTTAACATATAAGATATTTCCCTTTAACTCTTCGTCAAATTTGTCTTCTTTTCGAAGAACCATTGTAATGCAGGTCCAGTGACACTCTCTTGAAAGGTTTGAATCATGAGCTATGCTTGATCAACGTATTGTACCATCTTGATATTGTAATATTGTAGATGCGCCTTCGTGAAGATTGTGCCATCGTATTTGTAGAAGTCAGGCACCTTAAATCTATTAAGAACTTTAACCTTGCCAGGGCGAAACGAACTTGCCATGTTTTGGTCAAATATCTTCCCTTTTAGATACACCACTAGTCTTTTCAGTGTAGCATCGAACTCTATTATTTCAGGTAAACTAGATTGTTCAGAGGACATCTTGTCTCCACCCTTCAGGTTGGAGGTTCCCACTTAAATGAACCATCCACGTTGTCGCGGCGCTTTTGCTTACTGAGATGAGCTACTGTAGCACGCAACTCGTCAACTTGATTTTGGACACTTGCAATTTACTTGTTCATGCCATTGAGATCCATTTGTGATGCGACAATGTCACCTAGGTAGTGGAAGTATAACGACTTAATAGGACCGGTCCATGACAACGGTCGACTGGCCAATTTTTTTTTTTAAATAGGAAAAGTTTACTCAATTAAAGACATTAAACATAATAAACTTATAACGAAATATTTGTTAAATTCAAAGCAAGAAATCATTATTGGGGATCTTATCATAAGTTTTGAAGATCGATTAGCACGACTCAAGATGGGAAAAATTCCTAATTGGAATTATGCCTAAAATCTTAAACAAATCATGGTTAGAATAAAACCAATCATCTTAGGCAATTTAAATATTCAATCGAATTAGGAAATTACCTAGATTATGAATCCAACTCAAGCGGTGACCAGTGACGGGGAGAACACGTTCACGAAGGAATCCCGCGACGGTGCAAGAGACTTGGGCTTGGCTATGGTTTGCCTGACTAATGTTGGAGACACGGCATGGACAAGGCAGCACTGGCGTTGCAGCAGTAAGGACTCCGGTGAATCGGTAGCTGCTCGCTGAAGGTGGCCCAGCAAAGGTGTTGGTGACAACTCGGACGTCACCGGGAAGCTTTGTAAGTCGCCGGAAAAACCTGCACAGGTAAGATTCAAGAGCCTTTAGCAAAAAAAGAAGTAAGATTCAAGAGTGGCCACGAGAAGAATCACGCCACAACCTGTGATGGGGACTGGTTATAAGCGATCGGCAATATAGATCATGGACAAATGCAGCTATGTCAAACTGGCCACAACGCTCCCGTCTGGCAACAGGAGCAACAGCAGCCAGACAACAGAGACCACCATGTGGAGCAAGAGCAATCGGCAAGACCTGGGCAACGAGCGGCAATGGTGTGCTCCAGGAACTGCACCAAGAAAATCAGCAACGAGCAGAGACCGGCTGCTAGTGACAGGAACAGAGATACGGCCAACAGGAGTAGGGACGTCGCGGACTAGAATTGCAACAGCACAGGTGGTGATTCACGGTCAGTACGGACGGGACATTGTGGCGACCAGCAATGAAGCATGTGACATTTCTAGAAAATGTTTTTCATGAATATTTTTTGGTATTTGGCTGAAACTTAAAAATGAACCGTTATTTGGTAAAGAAAACATTTTCCTTTGCTCATTCGATTGTTTTCCATGTACACTTGAACACTCCAAACCAAAACTAAGCAAAGCTTCGGACCGAAACTCAACACTCTCGAGCGCACTACACATATCATCACGTATTCTGATACCAACCAAAAACTCGTACGTATTTACATGAATTGAACACCGGAGCACACGTACGTTAGAACCGTATTTGCGCCCTTCATACTCAGAATAGCGTACAAATGTTTTACTCCGCATCTCCGGCCACCACAGTATTGCCATCGTCAATTGCCAGCCATCACATATACACGATCAAAACCATGACGACTGACAGCTCAGAATACAAAAGTTGGAAGGGAATCAAAACAGAGAGACTATAATAAGGCCTACGAGACACGATTACATTCAATTTCATAAGTGGCTGATCCAGCACTTATATTGACATAATTCATAATGTATTGTTCGCTCAAATAGTAGCATCCAATTTCATAAGAAGCAAAAAAGGAGAGGAGGAAGAAGATTGAGATAATTATACCGTGGCAAAGAGGCTTCTCCATTGCAATTCAAAGATTCCTGATACGGCGCGCCAAAAGCCGATCCAATTCTCACTTGATATGAGCGATCAAACACAGTGTAAAGCAGAACTTCAAATGTCGAAAAGAAACACGGGATGGACAGAAATGCGCGAAGAAGGAACGAACAGATTAAAGCCCCTTCGCCTCTCGAGGACTCATCTATCTCCAGAGATCACGCGGACCGAAGAAGACAACTATTTGCAGAACGAAGATCGATCGATTTCGCTCGTGTGCAGGACCAGAGAAGACGGCTTGTTGCAGATCGGTGGATCACTGCTCGTCCGAAAGCCGTCCATTGCTCGACACTGCAAATGAGGAGCAAGAAGGCGGGGCAGAAGGAGAAAGCGTAGAGGTGGAGAAGGACGAATAGTAGCTCTTGGAGGCGGAGAGGTGAGGAGCAAGCACGTGAGAAGAGGAAGGTGGAGGACGGGAGAAGTGCATTTCCTAAAGTCATTTGCCCCCATTTCGAAGGTGTTTTTTCTATATGATCTTTTGAGCGAGCCAGCTTATATTCTCCACCAAAATCTTCACGATCCTTTGGATTGGCTCACTTTTCCAAACCGAATTGAACTCGGTTTGTTATTCATTTTCGATCTCACGAGCTCAATCTTCGGGACTCTGCCAGCAACCTTTATCTATTCCAATGTGGAATTGATCTTGACATCACTTTGAATTCAAATTTGAACCAAGACTGATCGAGGATGTACCACTGTGGATCATCCTATCTTGAAAATATATTTGGCCGTCCTCGTCCCCCAATTTGAAACTCTAATCCGCAAAGTCTGATATTAATCCTTATCATGGCCCACTATATAGGAAGGTAATGGGACGCGCGCTCGTCTGTGATATGGAAAGGTCATGTGAGTGGCATGTGCGACGTGTGGCCTAAATGAAATGCGAACTATTGCAAATTGTATTTTTGTCTAAGGATCAAGTCGATTCCTAATTTTCTTATGCAATAAAGAATTAAATATGGTAACCAACATTTACGTGTCAAACAGCGTACAAGGCATCAAGGAAAAAAAAAGCTATTTTTCACGTCATATTCCGGCATTATCTAACGGTCATCTCAATGCGAATTGACCAGTCAAAAGAACCTAATTAGAAAATTTATATAAGCTTAAGGACTTGACAACAAAATTATATATAATTATAAATATTTCTTTATTATTATCCATGGATGTTATACACATCCAACGGTAATTATAAATTATATAAAATGATATTTAATTGGGTAGTATATCTACTATACGCAGTATATATATATATATATATATATATATATATATATATATATATATATATATATATATATATATATATATTTATCATCAATTCCTTATTTGTTCTAAATTTTACATAGATAATTAGTGGTTAGGCCTATTCTGTATCTTTGTTTCTGGCGATTTGATTCCCACCAAATTCTTCGAGGATTGAATGGCGAAAAATCTGCATTGGGATTAGGCAGATGGTGCGTAGTATATACCAAAATATGTAAAATGTACGTATTAATTTCGGTCATGGATAAATGAATGTTTTGCAATGAATAGAGCATAATACTCCAAGAGTCCATCTTAGTGCAATATCTAAAACTATCACATGATGCTTTGAGTTGAGTTCCGAGAGATACCATTTGCATTGGTCGATTGATTATCAATCAGTGAAGGAAAAACTTGGAAGATGAATGGTGTCCCGTGTCTATGAGTATGTACGCGTAAGTATATGACGATGGAGTGCTGTAAAAAAGTATTTTAGATCGTCGAACTTTAGCTTTCCCGGAGAAATTATTTCGTTGATTTACTTGCGGATCGAATTAAGGATGAATAAATTATTTATATTTTTTGACTAAAAAATTATTTATATTTGCAAGAGAAAAATAATTATCTAATAGATTTTATATTTGATATTTAGTCGGTCTCTTTAATGAGGAGTCTATTTTTATGTACTAAAATTTAATAATTATAGTTTAATATATTTTAGGTTTTGTTATCGATTGGATCTCATATGCACGCTCAAAAATCATGAAAAATTTCCTATACAACGCTCTAAGATTTTCAAGTCACTTTTCATTGATGTTGTATAGTGTAATATAAATGAATACTAATTTAAGGTCACATAGGGTAAAATGCGTATTAATTTTAATTTTTCAGGTTTACCTCACTTCATGAGAGTGATATATATATTTTTTGGCCGATAAAATAAAAATTTCATTAACTCAAAGAAAGTCCGTTCACATCGCAAAATAAAATATCCAACAAAAGTTTCAAGGGACAAGATAGCTAGTTTGAGGGAAGTTCCTTCTTTCGCTGGGCCTTAGCCACCCAATTCACGAGCCTATTTGCATCTCTTGGACATTGGGCTAAATTCACAAATTTTAGTTGGGTCAATTTTGCTTTGCACTCATCAATCCAGACCCGTAGTGCCCATGGGCTCTGCTTTTCTACCACAATGCCTTCATGTACTCATAAATGACATACCATGAAAGAAGTAGATACAAAATTTAAGACTCTGTTTGTTTCACAGAAAATGAATGATTTAGAAAATATTTTCAAGAAAATGATTACTTGTATAGCTTGAAATAATTAGTCGATTGAAAATATTTTTAGTATCGTCAACAATTTACGTCTAAGCATTTCCGCGAATGATGAAATTTTATTCTGTCCATTCATTTTTATAAGTGATGCAAGCGATCATTTTTTAAAAAATATTTTTCAAAAATCATTCATTTTCTGCGAAAAACGCACCCTAAGTCATATATCTTTGAATATAATGGCGGTCAATTATTAACATTCCATCAATCTATTACGACTACCTGGAGGGAAGAGAATAAGGATATTATTTACCATAAACTAGAAAAATCCATGGATTGACAAGAGATGAACATTTCAAATTAACCGGAATACGGACTCGGGAGCAACGTTTGGCCCTTTAACTTGCCTTCATGTACTCATAAATGACGTCGAGATCATTCCTCGATGATCTACCAAGCAAAATAAAAAAAAGACCGAAGCAAAGAGAATCAGTGAAAGCAAAAAGAATTACTCAAGGAGATGATCTTTTTATTTTTATCTGATATTATCAACGAAAAAATTTTGAACTTATTTTTATCTTTTGATATAAAATTAATTTTTTTAATATTTTGACGATATAGTCATGTGGAAAATTAATACAATAACCTCTTGAGTGTCATCCATCAATATCTTGTCTCATACATATACCATATCCTAACTCAATTTACGTGAATAGTTTACAACAGTATCTTTCCAACCTTTCTATCCCGCTCCTAAATTCTGCAGCATACCATACGTTAGCGTTTCCTGAAACAGTGCCAATAGTGTGTGAATTAATGTTCATCACAGCACAGCACGTAATTCACGCAGAACAATATTGAATGTTGCAGAGGGCCTTCAAAAAGACACTTTGCTAATCCAGATGATGACCCCCACCCGACCCGACGTGGGTTCGCTACGCAACCATAATTGTGAGATTTTGTGGAATTACCGTGTCTTTATCTAACAGCGTAAGCTTTTTAAACAGTTGGCAGTTGTCCCACAAAATCTCATGATAATTAAATATCATCTCTGTTTGTCCTCTTGTTGAAGCTAAACTAGCCATGGTACGCGAGGACACCAGGTTCATGTAATACATCCTATTTAAATGAACGAAAAAAGCATAGAGATGAGAGCAAGTAGCGAAGGAAAAGCACACCACGACTATGCATATATAAAAGCAACTAAAGAAATCCAATCTCCACTCTCCTCCTAGTCCCAACTCTTGATGGTCTCAACACCAAGTATGGCTAAGTAAAATCCCGAATGCACCCTATCAATATAGGTAAGAGACAAAAATCCTTTATTTACACAATGTCTCATTCGATAGCTTAACAAATCTCAACTTTTGATCATCAAACAAAACAAGTCAAATTACATTATCTGAAATGTATGTGCTGCTAGTGGAGTCATTTATTCAAGAATTCTTTAATAACATGTGGAAAAGAGGAATAATTTTTTTTTTGCCGATGATGTTTCTGTTCAAGCAGGGCCAAAGCATCCGTGCAACAATATGCTTCTCTGAATATGTGCTCAATTTTGTATTCCTGCAATTAGCCATAAGAAGTTTCATCAGTAAATTATTCCCATGAGTGCTTGTAATTGCTTGAATCATAAACATGGAATCCATTTCGATGGGTAAATGGATAACGTTATTGGGTAATTCTATACTAAGGCCATCTCTTAGCGCCATTTTCTGCAGTGATGTGTTCACCGTCCGTCGGAGCTTCTATAGTTCTTAAGAGATTTATGCCCATTGGTAGTTCATTGCAATCACTTTTTTTTATCAATATTTTCTTTTTGTGATTGGGGCACTAGGAGTACTCCTAGGAAATGTAGAACGACTCATGTTAGTCAATCTAAAAGATGGGCAAAATTCTTTTGGTGGGTCTCTTGATGTTGGTCTTTGCTCATAAAAAGATATAAGATGACATTTTTGTTGACCAACAACGCAACTATGATTGTAACAACTTTTTTTTGTCATTATTTTCTTTTGGTGATTGGGGTACTGGATATACTCCTAGGAAATGTACAATGACATATATTAGCCAATCTAAAAGATGGGAAAAAGTTTTTCAGCGGGTCTCTTAATTTTGGTCTTTGCATGGAAAAAAATAGGGTTAATACCATGAAAACCCTAAACTCTTACACATGTGACAAATTTATCCAGATCTAATTTTTGACTACCAAAAATCCCAAACTGGTACACTGGTGACAAATTTACCCTAAACTAATTTTTTTACCACTAAAAATTTCAAATCGATACACTTGTGACAAATTTACCCTTCATTAAATGAGATTAATACCATAAAAAATCACAAATTGTTAAACCTGTGATAAATAGAGGGATAAAACTCCAAACTGGTATACCTGTTAACTGTTACGTGTCATCTAACTCATCAATTTAGTAGTAAAATTTAACGGAAACTAATAGAGGATAAATTTGTCACAGGTGTACCAGTTTGGGATTTTTCGTGGTATTAATCCAAAAAAATATGAGATGACATTTTTGTTAACCAACAATGCAACTATGAATG